ACTATAGGAGGCCAAATTCCAAGCCTTGCACCTAGGGCTGCCAATGTCTAAATATTGACCAATTGAGGTCAGACTCGTAGTGGTATGCTATAAGGCCTCGGGCTAGTTACGTGTATCCCCGTGCCTTTTTTAAGGCGCAGGTATATACATCCTGGGAAATGCCTTTGCGAAGCAAGTGGAGTTATAATTTTCCAGATTTATGCCCTAGAAGGCGAGGAACTCGATTTCCATCCTTCGGACGAGGAAAGCATGGCTTTCATCATTTTCACTATATTTTTAATATGACAGAACATAGTAAATACAGTAAATTTTACTGAACTTATACGTATTATATGAAGTAAAGCTGAAATTAATTTCATAGTTGACCACTTACTTTTTATCCTTTCCTCTTAAGTGTCTTTTAGTATTTATAAACATGTTGGCAGAATATCAACTATCGTGACTCCAATCGCGTAAGGATTAGGCCTTAGACAATATGCCAGGACTTTTCGTGCCAAGAAGAAATTAAGAGATGTTACAAAAATGTTATCTTCATTATACAACTAAGTATCACAATGAATCATCACAGTTCATTACAAATACAATGAATAAATTAAAGCAAAATATTCTTAAGCAATGTGTCTCCGGATCTTGATGTAAATGTCTGCACATTTTAAAGACTTTTTTTTTAGATCAGTATATCATTATTTAAAATGTTTTCACCACTTTTCATTAAATTAATTCTTTCTTCTATAGAATTTTCTGAGATATTGTCTTAATGTGGTTCAACGAATTAAAAGCTGTTACCGACTAAGTAGTTTTTATATCCGACAAGTTTTCTAATTTTACTGTCAATTCTGATATAAAGCGAATATTTTTTGGATGGTATTACCCAGCCTTAAATGTAGTAATTGAGTCCGGACGCTCTTACCTAAAAAGTACCTACTTGTATTTGTTTAGTGCACATGCTTTGATTTATGCACTAAAGTTGCAACAAGCTACAGTTCGATAAAACTTTGAATTGAAAGAGGTTTTCAGCATATTTTGCAGGAACGCCTAAAATGATGTTTTAGGACGCGCGTTCAGAATGCTGTATACATTTAATCGTTAAAGAGAGACAGGTGCTGTGTGGACTCTCCGTAAAGAACTTGAATCTCTATAAAAAAAGGTTTTGACTTTCTTTCCGTATTTATAACTGTTTTCGCTACATAAGCAGAAAACGGACAAAAACACAATTTTCAGAAACTCGACACTTGCTAAGCAATAGTAATATTATCAGTTCTTTTACATTGATTTTACGGAGTTGTTAAGTTTGAAGGTTATGTTGCTGTCAGCTGATTTATTTTTGAATACACAGTTAGTTAAATTTTACTACAGTGGAATGGGTCGTTTTGTGCAAAAAAAGTGTTTTCAATGAAACAGAGAAGACTCACAGAGATCCCGTTCGGGTAACGAAAAGCAAGAAATAAGCTTAAACAAAAATTTCTTCGAATTTATTGAATTTCGAGGCCACAAATTTACCACATGTAAAAAAGAAAAACAAGACTGCTTAAAAGAATGACTACCGGTATTTAACCACGACATAGAAGATAATTTGGTACATCATATTTCCGAATTAGAGAAGTACATGTTCGGGCGGACAATAAATAATATTCAGTGTAGAAAAATAGTGATTATATTATCATACCTTATGTAAGATACTTATTGTTGTATTTTAATTTTCTTTTTGTTTAAGACATATATGATTATGTCGTATCAATTAATAAATTTAAGTTCTTACCTTGCGATAATTCAAAAATTGCTTTAATTAACAGAGAAAAGTAGGTAGAGTGTTGATGATTTTTTAGTCTTGAAAATAATAGAATACTTATTATTGTGTTTTGCATCTTTATTTTTCGACATACGATATGTTAGTGATAAAATATTATTCAATTATAGTTTCTATGTTGCCATAAAACGAACAGTATATAAAAAAACCTTACTCAACAGAATAAAAGTAAATATCGGTTATAATTTTCTTAATTCATTATAAATACTTATTATTGTTTTTCTTTATCTGGGTGTATATAGGCAAATTTCGTGTCTGTAAGATTGAGTACTGCCTCAAACATAGATATTTTTATGTAAATAAATATTGTATTTATTACTCGCACGATTTTAACTCCTATAGTACAATTTAAACAACTCGTTGGTTGAATTGAATCGTTTGTAGATCTTCAAAAAACACATGTTTGACTACCTTAAAAGCAAACTAAGACCCCCATTTTTTTTGTATGTGATAGCCAAGCCGTTGATTTATAATTATAAAAGTTTTTCATGGGTATAAGTTTGTATGTAAAAGAAAAATTGACGTTAAACTAATAATCGGTACAATATATCCGACTTTTCCTTATTAATTTTGTAAAGGCAGTATCTGTTGCTTCGACAGTGCGGACTCTGTTATTATTATTAACCCCTGCATGTATTTTCTTTTTCGAGCAAGTTGCTATATGCTTGCAGAAAATCTCTCGTCCGTCATCATCACTATGTGCCGAACCTTGATCTCACTAGAGGGGTAGTGTCACTTAGAAATTGCTTGATATCTTCACATGCACTTAGGCGGTGATCTGTTCTAAAAATTTTGGAGTCTCTGTACAACTAATTACCATGTAAAAATTCTCGACTCAGAAAAGTCGAGTAGTGGAATGTCAGGCAGCTTATTAAGTGGTTTTTCAATAAAAAGGTAACCTGGCATTAGTGCTTTCAGGTCGAATGGAATTCCAGATAGTGGGCTCAGTGGTCTTGCATTCAACACAAACTCAATTGGTATTTTGAAGTATAAAGTGCTATGAGAATTGAACTGCCAATTTGTCCGATGCTCTAGTAATAACTCTTTCAGATGCTTGTTCTCCAAACAGACGGTAAATTGGATTTTGCCCTTTTTAGATGATTACAATAGCCATAATACCCCATGTCTTTATAGAATTCGATTTCATTACTTCTTTGGTGATAAACTTCTCGAAGCAGAGTTAACTGAATTGTATTTGCCAGCAACATACTACCTAATGGCATTTAGTTACAGGTATTCAACGCGATGAACTCAATTTCTCGGGTAGTTCTTATATCTCCAAGAAGGAAACTCATCAGAAATATCTGGTTTGTTCTTTAAACTAATGTATAGTCGTTATAGGGATATACAAGAAAAAAGGTAACTGGATCTAGTGAACTCTACTCTAAGTTTAGTCATAGTGCACTGCTCTCTCTCTCAAGACTTCATGATTAAAAAAAATAGTCGATTGATGCTTCAGTCATTTTGGTGAGTACTTATTTTACGTATTCTGGATTCTTATACTCACCCATGAATTCAGTATAAAGTCTTTCGTACTGACTACAGTTTTCTAATCTTCTGGGAATATCTCTTAAACATTTTACCTCAACTGATGAGTCGTCAAGATAAATAAGTGATGATTTTAAAGAGAGCGTTACGATGTATTTACTTATATTATTTTTAGTGTGGGTTTTCTTAACATGGTCTGTACATTGCTGGTCCGCAGGGCTTAGTTTTAAATTGTTAACTCCAGAAATTTTTTTTAGCACTGAATTCACTAATGAAAAAATAGAACTGTTTTTTAGTTGTTGACTAATTACAGTACGACAGATTTTTGCCAGGATTGTGTTGGACAAACCCATTCGGTATAAACAGAAAGAAGAAACCTTTGTGATCGAAAAACTCGAATACAGAGCATAGATCCCATTTTCAATCGTTTATAACATATTCAATCGTCATAAACAAAAAGAGTACATTTTCATTCATGTTAAGTGAGTTCAAAGAAGCTTTCGAATCTATCATCATAATTACATGTTTACATTTATTTATTTTGACTACAATAATAAAACGTAAGCCATCTAAATTTTCTAATTTCACGCTCATGATTAGTACTCATTTTCGGTTTCCTCCTCCAAAGTCGATGTCACCGGACGCTTTTGAAGTGCCTCTGACCCCACGCCTATCTGGCAAGAGACATTCAAGTTTTCCTGAAAACGACTAAAAATGCAATAACCAGATTTTTTATAGAATTTATAAGCTTTATTTTCACTGCTTTTATTTGAATTATTAATTAATCAACACGTTTTAGCAACATGACCATTTTCCCCACAAAGTTGAAATTTTACATTCGATGAAACTCTATTTGATTTTTTAAAACAATTCTTAACAGTATGTCCAGTTTTACCACAAAACTGACGATTTTCTTTGTTACCTTTTTCTCTTGAGTAGTAATCGTTAACCTCAATTTTTAAGTCTTATTGCTATTGATTTTCACCTTCTCTTAAAATATATACTAAATAATTATGTAAAATTTTTAAAAATACACTTAGACATTACTAAAATATTGGAAAAAATTGAAAAAAAAAAAATTTTTTTTAAATTGTTTTTACATTTCTTCATGACTATTTATTTAAAAATAGGAAAAAATCATTTTATTTACATTGTTACGAATGATTGATGATAAAAAATTATGAAGGTATCCTATAATATACATATTTCAAAATTTTGGACTTTCAATCTCAATATCTCAAAAACAAAGAGAGATATCGAAAAGTTTATGCTTCATTTTCGACTTATTTTCGGTCGATCTATCTAAAGACATCCTCAAATGGCGGTGCCACGGAAACCGTAGTCGTGCCTGTTCAGCCGTCATACTTTGCCGCACTACTCATACTTCACAAAGTTATAGATATATGTAAATGTTAAAAATCGTATCTAACACCCAGTGTTTAATGTTGGCAATGAAATAACATAATGAATATTCTGTGCCTCGGTCAAAGCCCGTGGTATTAAATAAAAAACATGGTTGCGTGAGAAATGCCGTTAATAGATTAGCAATTCAGGAACTTTATCAATTTTTCAATTCCTTTCTACAGCATCCACCTAATTGCTTGAGGCTTAAAATGAATAATTAATGATTGATAAGAGAAAATCGATTGAACTTCCAAATCATGATAAACTAGAATTAAAATTAAAATTTTTTTGATTTTTGTAGTGATAACAATAAAATTCAAGTATTCTCTGTGAAAGTTGCACTAGCTACATTGTGTGCTGGAAAGCTGATGGATAAATTTCGATGTAAGTAATAATTTTTTAATTCTAATCTTCGAATATTTTCGAATTCTATTGTACGAAATATATCTGTACAATGGAAAAAATATGATACAGATGAATAAAAAAAGGAGCAATGAAGTAAGTGGAGATAAGGGAGTGTTTATAATTCGGCGCAATATAAACAAAAAAAAAACAAAATTCTTAACAAAATTTTTGTTTTTAATTTCAATTGATTTTCTCGCCTACGATTTAAATTATAAACACCTCGTACCCTTTACCTCCACTTACTTTATTCCCTCCCTCCAATTTAAACCCATGAGAACTCAACTACTCCAGCTTAAACCCTTAAAAGTTCTACAGTACTACACTCCGGTTAAAATCTATGAGAGAACTCCATTTCTAGTTCAAATCCGCTTGCATCTGAATTATTAATATTCGATAAACTGTATTTTTATGTTGAAACGATACTTTCAAAATTTCAATATGATAAGTAAATATAGATTTTCATGTAAGGCACAAAAATACGTTCAAGAAACAGGAAATTAGAAATGTAATAAGTAGAGGGAGAAAAGAACGTTAGTTTGAAAATGTATATAATGTTGGATGTAATCTAACAATGAATCAGTCAAAAATTAATCTTGAATTTAGCATCATCTTTAACCATTTTTTATGATGGAAAACACTAAAATTACACATATTATCGATATGAATGGTTTCATAATAAATGAAGTATTTTATTGTGAAGAAATAGCTCGTATTGATGTTAAGAGTGGTGAATTAAATTCAAGTCATTACGATATTGGATATCATATTCTGTCACCTAAATATGAAAGGATATCAAGATTCGTTACCATGTTTTTTCATGGGTTGACGATGAAAGATGAGTACGATAATCCTCATTATAAATAATAATAATTTCTTATTATATATTACTGAAGAGGCGAAATCACGAGGAGGAATAATTGGATACAAAGGAGGATGTTTTAAACGAGATAAATTAACATCATTGGGGATTTCTAGTTTTGACATAGAACACACTTTCAGAGTCGATGAAAATAATGTTTCTGATGTGTAATTAAAAAAAATTTTTGTAAGATAAACTTCAATACCTTGCATACGAACTGTTCCCTGATATTTATAACAGGTGTAATTGTTATAAACAGAAAGAGGAAGTTTTTATTTGTCTTATATGGTTCGTAACTTTTTTGTAGTAAACGAAAAAATTACACTTTAGAAGAATTCAAAAATGTTGCATGGATTCCTTTTTTCATTGTTCATAACAGATTTAATTATTATTAGCAAAAAAGCATGTTTTCATTTATGCCATACAGTAGGTAACTTTTTTCCAGTAATAGAAAAAATTACGCGTTAAAAAAATCTATGTATATTGCATGGATCTCTTTGTTTATTGTTTGTAACAGATTTAATTGTTATGAATAAAGAAGCATGTTTTCATTTATGTCATACGGTTGGCAATATTTTTTTAGTAACAGAAATAATTTTGCGTTGAAATTTCTCGAATATATAGCATGGATCCCTTTTTTTCTTGTTTTTAACAATTTAAAATTTTTTATTCAATTATTAATGTAATGAATAATTTGTTAGTTACAATGTTCAATTGTTATGGACACAATTCCATATTATTAACAATTATTGTTGACTGTTATAGCATCTTTAATGATTTTTTCTCAATCCTGACATTAGATTAAATTCTTTCATAGCTGGTTTTTAAAAAAAAATTTTTTTTTTTAAGAAATATTGTCATCATGTTTTCATACAAGAATTCTAATAACTGAATATTCATATTCTTAAAAAGAATTTGAAATTTTGTCTCAAAAATGGTATAACTTATAAATTGGAAAATTCAGGTCGTTTTTCATTTTCTCTAATTTTTTGGTTGTATAAAAGAAATGGCTAAACTGATTGTACTGAAAATCTAATCAGCTTTAAGTTACGTAATTACGCGTCGAATGCAATTGGCCCCACGTCGATATCATTTTTGTTCTCGATATAATCGGCCAGGAAATTTCCGGATGAACGTACGCACATACACACATACAGGCGTCTACTGGAAAACAATCGTATTTGACTCTGAGGACTTTAAAACGTAGAAATATGTCAAAATTCGGGATTTACACAATTAGACCCATTACTATAACTTTCCACCGGGAAGTTAATAATAGTAAATGATTATTTACTTACTGATGAACTCTTCCACAACCTTATTTTTTTTTATATTTATAACAATTATTATTATATATACTCAACCACTAATTGCTCGTGAGTTGTTACTGAAAACCGAGTCGTCTGTGTAATAGAATTACAACAATTATCATGTATCTATGAGTTGTCTGTATTGTTTTTGGGGATCATTGAATGATGTGAGTTGTCTGAGACCTGACTGAGGTAAAGTTGTCTCTTTTCTTGAGCTGTAGGAGATCGGACCAAACCTAGTGACCCTTCTTCTAGGACCCTCAACCTTTCTGAGGCTGAAACCTCATGTGCCAAGGTCATCTCTTCCGTCGAGTCACCAGAGAAGCATTCTTTACTCCTGTTAGCACATATAGATTGACATGATTCATCACCATTGATCATTGAGTTGTCTGCATGTTGAGTGATCACACCACTTCTTGACGAGTTGACTGAAGCATAATCAGAGTTGACTGCAGAGAGTTGACTATGATGATAAGTTACCTAGTAAGAAGTCTGTTCAGATCGATGAGTGTGATTTGGAGTTGGCCATGGAAATGGCGCTTTACCACCTCACTGCTGGGAGGTTGATAGCTGTTGACTGTTTTAAGTAGGCTGCGGTTCGTGGCCTGGTATATATCCCCTCTTTCTCAATGACTCCGTCCGGGGTGTATGGATCGTTGAATGATGCTTCTGATTGCACCCATTGCACCGTTTGTCAGACTGGATCAAGTGGTGGCCGAAGCAATTGAAGCACAGCCGTGCTGAGAGGACCAGTTTGTATCGCTTCAGTTGAGAGAGAGCTGCAAAAGATGTATAGTCAACTAAATAATGCTCTCGACTGTCGCACTGATCACAACGGTAATCAGCCTGTCTGTTTTAAGCCCCATGCCTGGAGGCTCGAGTCGTCTGAGGTTGAGTTGACTGCTGTTGGGACCTAGACTTCCTCGTGATCACTGGAGTAGGCCACCTTTTAGCCTGACGTGCAACATCCTCAATTGACTCCATCGCACGTGCCGTGGTTAAGATGAAGTTTAGTAGACTGTTCAGTCTTTTGAAAGTTTATATTTTAAAGTAAGTACATTTATGATATATTGTTTCTAGAGTTATTACGGGAAGAACACTCAAAGAAGGATTGGACATCTCTGGATTTCTCTCTACTACTTCAATCAAGAAATGCTGTCAAATTATAAATGACTTTCGAACACATCACTTTGAAAAATTGCACAGTAAAACTATCTGGATGAATTTATAATAAAAAAGTAAACTTAATTGATTATTGTGAAGAAATAAAAATACACTCGTTTATTTTTAAAACATAGAATGGCTAATAGTAATAATAATGATTGAATAGGAGTAATATTACTTTATCAAAAATAACGTGAAAGAAAAAAAAAAAGTATAAGAAAAATTAATTTCATAATTCTTGATTAATTTTATCCTAAAACAATTCATTCATAAAGAACTAGTTTTAGCTAAAAGAATGTTTGAAATGCAGATTTTTTTCCCTTTTTTATCACTACTGAATATAAAAAAACTAATTAATTAAAGAGTCGAATGTAAAAAGACCAAGTGATCGGAAAAGATCCTTTATTAACAATTATAAAAAAAGTCTTTTTTTATTCTTAAATTATGATTTGCAGAAAGATGTACGTACGCAAAATGTTAAGGATTGTTTTCGTTAGTAATTGAGCGACTCGCCATTTAAGTATAATTGCTGATTAATAATAAAATAGTTTTCAATGTTTGCAGTGATATATTGTGTAACTTAGCTCAGCTACAGCAATAACTACTGCAAGCGCTACAGAAAGTTTCAGAACGAATTCTACTTTCTACTGTAGCTGTGGCACCACAGTTTCTGTGGATAGATTTTGGGATAGTCCCTGTGGAAAACATCTACACAGTAAAGAATATAATTTTCCATATGATTATGAGAGACTTGCCCTACGAACTTCAACGGTTCTATATAGATAAATTTATTAATTGAACATTAAAACAAATTTTTTTAACTCTTATATAATAAAACTTGGAGAGTAGAGCTCAAATGTTAACTATCGTGGACACGTAAAAATGTACAGTGCTGCGATGACACGCTGAAAATCAAGCATTTTCGGCGGAATATGCCGTTAAACGCCTTTTTACTTAATATTTTAATAAAAATCAGTGCTCTGCAGTGGTCTGGGTGCAACCCAAGAGGTCCACACGACCAACTTCCCAGTGGAAAGGAGAAATAAAGTCAATATGTTTTGTAGTTATAATAATTATTATTGTTACAAATGTAACAATTATTATTATTATCTCCTTTTAGTTCGTCAAAGGTGTCTGGTTAGGGCCCAGGTAGGTCGGAGCCCTGGGATCCCTGACCAGACAGGATTATCCTGCAGGCACCCGACTCCCTCAGGTTTGAGGGTGAGCCGGGGCTGCAGCCGTTCAGCCAAGATTTTTACAAACGTCTCAGGATTCGGAGAGAACCAAGGATGACCGCTTTCTGCATACGAGCCGCGAGAATCTCAGCCTGACTACGGTGGACTGGTATTGTTTGAAGCTCTGTTAAAAAGCGGTCCCTCATCCCTCCGAGGGCACCAATCACCAGGACTATCACGTGCGCTGTGTATTCGTGATAGACATTTTTCATGACCTCCATGAGCTTTCTGTAGCGTTCCTGTTTACTCTCTTCCTTTGTACGTATATTTGTCTCAGCCGGGGCTGAAAACTCAATGTAATATACGTAATTGGTGGTATGGTCGAAAAGAGTGATATCCGGCTTATTGTGTTCAATACGATGAGGCGTAGAAAGCGCGTAATTCCAGAGAATTTTTGCTCTTTTCTTCTCA